TTGCGGGTCAAAGTGGACTCAGTGCGGGGAACTTTACTCTAATGTAAAGAAGAAATCTAAAGAAGGGGCTATGAATTGGTATTAAAGTAGTATTATAGGCATTTTTTTTCCTCATTTTGGATAGAGTAAAGTAGGGTTATAACCCCTTTTCATTTTTTTTTTTTATGCCATCTGTGTCCCATTGGGGACTTTTACTTTCACTTCCTGTCCTATATCCAAAACAGGAAGTGAGAGGATATCCCTGAAAATTAAAGGGATCCATTGCCCCCCCCCCCAGGTCACTGTATTACTGTTCTGGGGACAGGTAGCAATAAAAACAGGCTTTCTAATCCATCTCCACTCCACTAAAAAGCCATTTTTGCCTTTAGTTATACTTGAATGCTTTTCTATTACAGTGTACATACTGGCAAACCCCACTAAGGTCACAGTATTTTTTAGCAACCTGGATGATCAGACATTACAAGACAGAGTTCACTTTGATCCACTCAGCACTGCCAGAAACTGTAAAAATATGTTTGCAGCAGTGCCCAGGAATTCGGAGAACATGGCAGAAGTCATCTAAAAGGTTTTGTTTTTATGAATAGTCTGTTCAGTATCTGTTTATGGTATATACTGGTTTACTGAAGCTGAAGTCCAGGCAAATGGCTAAATACACAGTTAAAATATAACTAAAGGCAAAACTTTTTTTTAAGTTTTAGACATTGTGGAGAAGGATTAGAATACTTGTTAGGTATTTATTGCTATTTCTACTCCCTTTAGGGAGATTTGTTCTGTTTACCGTTATCATCAAGAGTGAAAGTAAAAGAAAATCCCATATTTTGGGTTGTACCTAGAACAGTAATAGAGGGGTGGTACAGGAAGTGAAGGGGAATCCCTCCCCAAAGGGGCACAGATGGCAAAATATAAACTGACAGGGGTTTTAACCTTCCCTTACTCTATCAAAACTGGAAAATACATTTTGTCTATAGTTCTACTTTGATTGCATAAATGGGAACTGCGATTTTATTTTATTATGGGTGGCGCAGAAAAAATATATACATGATCAAAATATATACAAAGTACTATATACAGTCATAACCAAAAATATTGGCACCCATGCATTTGTCAGATAATACACCACTTCGCCCAGAACATTTTGGCAATTACAAATGTTTAGGCATTTTTGTGTTTATTTCTTTTATTTGTATTGGTATGACACAAAAAGCCAAATCTTACACATTCCATTTAAAACTCCAAAAATGGACTGGACAAAATTATTGCCACCTTCTCAAAATTGTAAGAAATAATTGCATTTCAGGTTTGTGATGCTCCTGTAATTTGTCATTAAACTCTCCTGTATTAACAGGTGCTGACATTATTTAAATCACATTGGCAACCAGTTAAAATGGTGAAAAATTGACTGAGCCTTTCTGTTGTGTGTCTCTGTGTGCCACATGGAGCATGGAAAAGAGAAAAAGCGTCAAAGAATTGTCTGAGGATTTGAGGACAAAAATTGTGGAAAAGCATGGAAAATCTCAAGGTTACAAGTTCACCTCCAGAGATCCAAAGCACACGTCAAAAAGCACCCAGAAATGGTTTAAGACAAAGCACTGGAGAGTACTGAACTGGCCAGCAATGAGTCCAAATATATCAATCCAATAGAGCACCTGTGGAGGGATCTCAAAACAGCAGTTGTGAAAAGGACAAAAAATATAAAAGTGCAGCGCTAATTAATAAACGTAATACAATAAAACTCAATACACCCCCAAAATAAATCCAAGATCCTCAATATATATACAGTGTCATGCATGTATTCCCTCTAGGGGAATGTCTTGTGCAAAACTTGAAAAATTATGTATTATATATAAAATATATATAATAATACAGTGGTACCACACTTAAAGTGCACAAACGGATGAACAAAATTCAAATACGAGAAAAGTCCAAAATTAATAATAATAATACTAATGATGCAGTGCTTAATGATGAGCTTCACACTCCACTCTTCATGCAAAATTATGTGCAGTGTACGTGATTCACACGTGCCAATCCTTAACGGCCAAAATGCCCCCTCACCTCCTTCCTTAGACCCCAAGGGGCCAGCACGCTTTCAGGATCACACGACCCTATCAGTATGGATCACTCTCTAGATAATGTCTTCCTCCTCCAGCGTCCACCAGTTTAGCAGCCAGCTCCTCCCAGGGTCATAGTAAGACACAAGCAGAGACCCTCCATAGTGCAACCAGTAATTTTATTGGTAATAGGTATATAAAGTAGATTTCCACTCACAAAAACGACGAATATTCCAGCCTCCTACCACATGCTATGGGTGTACTGCATGGGTAATACACAGGGTGTTCCAATATGGCCCCCACACCGGAAATGACGTCACCGCGTTTACCGGAAGCTCCTCCCCACGTACCGACGCGTTGCGTCACGTCCGCCACGTGGCTTCATCAGGGTGACCCTGATGAAGTCACGTGGCGGACGTGACGCAACGCGTCGGTACGTGGGGAGGAGCTTCCGGTAAACGTGGCGGACGTGACCCAACGCGTTGGTACGTGAAGAGGAGCTTCCGGTAAACGCGGTGACGTCATTTCCGGCGTGGGGGCCATATTGGAACACCCTGTGTATTACCCATGCAGTACACCCATAGCATGTGGTAGGAGGCTGGAATATTCGTCGTTTTTGTGAGTGGAAATCTACTTTATATACCTATTACCAATAAAATTACTGGTTGCACTATGGAGGGTCTCTGCTTGTGTCTTACTATGACCCTGGGGGAGGAGCTGGCTGCTAAACTGGTGGACGCTGGAGGAGGAAGACATTATCTAGAGAGTGATCCATACTGATAGGGTCGTGTGATCCTGAAAGCGTGCTGGCCCCTTGGGGTCTAAGGAAGGAGGTGAGGGGGCATTTTGGCCGTTAAGGATTGGCACGTGTGAATCACGTACACTGCACATAATTTTGCATGAAGAGTGGAGTGTGAAGCTCATCATTAAGCACTGCATCATTAGTATTATTATTATTATTAATTTTGGACTTTTCTCGTATTTGAATTTTGTTCATCCGTTTGTGCACTTTAAGTGTGGTACCACTGTTATTATATATGATATTTTATATAATACATAATTTTTCACGTTTTGCACAAGACATTCCCCTAGGGGGAATACATGCATGACACTGTATATATATTGAGGATCTTGGATTTATTTTGGGGGTGTATTGAGTTTTATTGTATTACGTTTATTAATTAGCGCTGCACTTTTATATTTTTTGCACTGTTCACTTATTTTGGGTATAAGTTTAGTGTCAGCAGCTTGTGGTTATAGGGTAGGAGTCCTTGTGAGCGCAGGAGGTTTTTTTGAGTTGTGAAAAGGAACCCTTCCAATCTGAGAGACCTGGAGCAGTTGGCGAAAAAAGAACGGTCCAAAATTCCAGTAGAGAGGTTCTAAGAAATTAATTGATGGTTACAGGAAGCAATTTCAGTTTTCTTCCAAAGGGTGTGCTACCAAATATTAAATGAAAGGTGCCAATAATTTTGTCCAGTCTATCTTTAGGGTTTTGTGTGGAATGTGTCACATTTGGCATTTTTTTTTTTCTCCCCTTTTCTTGTCGTACCAATACAAGTAAAATAAACATTACATGCCTAAACATTTGTAATTGCAACAATTTTCTCTGGTGGTGCTTTATCTGACAAATGCAGGGGTGCCAAGATGTTTGGCCTTGAATATGGGAGTAATACCTGAGGTCCTAATATTCAGCAGTAGAGTACAGCATTGCAATTAGTCATATAATACAAAGCATTGAGCAAATGACATGGTTGTTCCATCGCAGGCTATGAGATGGCATAGTATACAGCACTCTTAATAGAAACTTAATTTGTACCAGAAATAGTTTAAATTTGAAGTAACAATGCCGTAACCAAAAGAGTTATCAGAACTATAGGTGATTAAGAGTGACATCCAAAATGCAGTCACATCAGTGGCTGTTTGCCTCACCATCAATAAATAAATTGGGTAACTTGGTATATAGCATGGATCAGTACTTGGGCATGGTATGGTGGGTTAGCATGGAAAGTGTTTTACGAGTTTGGCCCTACCAGAGAGCAGCGCTGAGTTGACAGCATGACAATTATAGCAGGCTGATGAGCCCTTCCCTCTGCTCATGCTGCTTCTCCCCTTGTAGCATGTTCTTTGTCAGAAAATATGCACGCAGCATGCCTGATTCACTCAGTCTCTACCAGTTTGAATTCCGCTATATAGGGAATTATAAGCAATTTGTGCCAAAAGATGTAGCTACTTACACTAGTGACATTTTAAAAAGGTTATGATTCATGTCAAATGCATACCTGTATTAATGTTTTTATTTCCAGTTCAGCTTTTAGTTTTGGAATTCACAGCAAAATATTTTCTTATTATACTTTCAGCTTGTGATACAGAATAGTAATGTTAGTTGTAGAAGTGATCAACACTCTTTATAATTACTTTAACCGCTTTCCCGCCGCCCTATAGCAGAGATACTGCTACAGGGCGGCAAGGGTGTGCAAAATGACGTGCGTGTGTGTGTGTGTGTGTGTGTGTATATATGTATGTAAATACCACCGAAAGAAATCTCTATTTCTGAGGGGAAAAAAATTTAATTTGGGTACAGCGTTGCATGACCACGCAATTGTCAGTTAAAGTAATGCAGCGCCGTATTGCAAAAAAAAAAAAAAAAGAAGCCTGGTCAGGAAGAGGGGTAAATCCTCTGGAGAGCAAGAGGTTTATTTAAATGACATTGTCCACTCAATGGGTCCATTCTGCTTATCCTGTTTGTGTGTTGGAGAGTAGCCATAGCCATCTGTGAGACTACTATCTAGTGGACACAGAGGTTGGCACAGACTGTAAAGGGCCTCCTGAGCTGGTATTTTAATTGGCAGAAAAGGGTCATACCAAAGACCCCAAGTGTCTTTTCACTTAGTTTCTTTTTTAATCATATTTTAGTGTGAACATATGTATTTTATTGATTTGACATTTTAGGTGGAGCAGCCCAGAAGAGAAGCTCTTCGCTCAGCAGGTTGAATAACAAAAAATCTTCTTCACTTGTAGAGGGTGTGAAGAAGGAAGAAAACACAGGTGTCTGTTTAATCTGCTTTATGTGTGCTTAGCATGGCTTCAGACTGACAACTGCTCACCATATCCCAGCACCCAGGCTTCAGCATGCAGAATACAATCTGCTAAATAGGATTTATTCAAGCGCAAACATTGTGCAGCGTAAAATGACACGAGAGGGGTCTACTGAAACACTCAAAAGCTAATTGGCTACCATGCACAGCTTCACCAGATTCTAACCAGCGTGTTCAATTAAACTTTGACAATAAAACCTGGAAGCTGATTGGTTTTTATGCAGAGCTGCACCAGATTTTGCATGTTTTGTTTTAGTAAACGCGCGCACGTTCTCATATACTATTAGCTCCTCATGTACTCAGGTCTTCAGTGTTTTTCTCTTTAAAATCGCACATTTCGGAGTGCAAATGCATTGTTCATAAAGTATTTTTTTCTCTCAAATTTAGAGATGCTGTGTGCCGAATATGACACAAGCTCATTAAAAAGATACTACATTGGCTATAGAAAAGAATCACTCCCCTTTAAAATCACATTTTGTTGCTTCACAGCCTGAAATGAAAACAGACTCTGTTTTTGTTTTATCCAGCTGTATTCGTGCAACTTATAACATCCAAGTGAAAGGGATAACACCAACATGTTAGAAACAAATTAAAAAACCTAATTGATGAGTTTGAAAAAAGGATCACCCCCTCCTAAAAATGACTTGTAAACTCAGTCAGGTGTAGCTAATCACCTTCTCAGTGGCACACAAAGCCATTTGACTTTCAGCTGTCATCCAGCTGTGGTCATTTTGACTAGCTCAGCTTGAAAAGAGCTTTCCTGAAGCATTTCAGTCCCTGATAGTACAACTGAAGCAAATAATAAACTATAGGTGGCAAGGCACTGTCAAAAGATCTCCGGGATAAAGTTGTGGAAAGCACAAGTCAGGCAATGGATCCAAAAACACTGCAAAGGCTTTATCAATGACTAGAAGCACAGCGAAGTCTATTATTAAGAAGTGCAAGATATTTTGCACAGCACAGACCTTCAATGAATCAAGACGTTGATCCAAACTGAATGAAAAAGCCAGGAAGAAACTGTTCAGAGAGGCTACCAGGAGGCCTACAGCAACTCTGAAACTCTGAAGCAGTTGCAGGAATTTGACAGAGTGGTCATTGTGTGCATGTGACAATGGTATCACAACTTCTCCACAAGTGTGGCTTATATGGGAGGGTTGCAAGAAATAAGCTGCTCCTCAAGAAAGGCCAAAATGCACCTTAAAGATTCTTAGGCCACATGGAAAAAGGTGTTCTGGTCAGATGAGACTAAAAACTGAATTATTTGGCCTCAACATTAAACAATATATCTAGCAGAAATCCTATACAGCTCTCCATCTAAATAACACAATTCCTACAGTAAAGCATGGAAGTGGTAATATCCTGTTATGGGGGTGTTTCTCTTCAACAGGGACTGGAAAACTTGTCAGGATAGAAGGGAAAATGTATGGAGCAAAATACCGTCAATTTTTTGAGGAAATTCTGCTGCCCATTGAATTTCCCATTGAAAGTTGTCAATGGGAAGAAGGTTAACCTTCCAACATGACAATGACCCAATGCACACAGTGAAAATGAACACACAGTGGTTGAAGGAGAAAAAGGTGAATGTCCTTACATGACCTAGGCTTAAGCCCCATTGAAAATCTGTGGAATGACTTGAAGACTGCAGTCCATCAGTGGTCACTATCAAGTTTAACTGAACTTGAGCAGTTTTGCAAAGAGTGGGCAAATGTTGCAAAGTCTAGATGTGCAAAGTTAGTAGAAACCTTTCCCAACACACTAAAGGCTGTAATTAAAGTAAAATGTGGTTCAACAAAATACAGACACAAGGGGGTGATCCTTTTTCCATCTCAGTGATTCTGTTTTTGAATTTTGTTCCTGGCATATTGGTGTTATATTTTTCACTTGAATGTTATAAGTTGCACTAAGTAAATATAGCTGGATAAAACAAATCTTGTGTCGGTCTTCATTTCAGGCTGCAAAGCAACAAAATGGTTATTTTAAAGGGGGGTGATTATTTTCTATACCTACTGTATATGTTAAAAGCTAAGATTAAGATGCCCTAAATCAGCAAATTTCTGCCACTCTGAGCAGAGATCCATCCACAGGATGGGCAGATCTGTCAGTCTGTAGCCAGCAAAACAAACTTGTGACATATATTGTTGTATAGTATGTTCTAAAAACAATCGTTTATGCTTGAAGCCAGTTATGTAATAGCTTGCTGCTATGTGAATGCTCCACTGTCAAATTTACATTGCAAAACTAACCCTTTTAAGTTTCTTACACAGGACCCTTTTTGATATAATTTATTAATTTCTATGCATCTGCTATAGTCATTGTTCTCTAACATTCTAACAATTGGTTTTATTTCAGCAAGGTCTTGACCAGTATATTAAATGGTCCTATTTTTTTCTTTTATTTTACTGCATGATCAATTCTATAAACAATGTTGTTGTAAACATATTTTAAGTACCTAATCTTGTGAAAAGTTCACATTGAAATATGACATGTTGAATAGTAACACTGGCTCTTTCAGATAACTTGCTCATGTCGATTGTATGTTATATCTTTCTTGCTTCCTTTCCACTTTTAATGCTATTTTCTCTTGGTGCTTGATGCTTTTGATCCCGTTTCTGTATTTTTTCTTTATTGGATTTTACATGTTCGTGACAACGCCCATTTGGTTTGTTTATTTAGCTCATCGCCCCCAGACCAGCCCTCTGGATAGTAGTTTAATCAGTCGCCTCCTCGCCCCCACTCAGTCTTCCCTAGCTAGGAGTAAGAGTGCTGCCACATTATCAGCTGATGGAAAAGATTTGCCAGGTAACTCCAGTAGCGTGGTAATTGCACAAGCATCTTCCCACCTGAGTGCTCCACATTACTATGTCATTTTGGAGATTTGTATCCTGTAGCATGCAGCATCATGGAGAATGCCCCCACACTGTATTTTATTACTAATGTTTGAAACCTTATTGCTCACTCAACTATGGTATCCAATATTTTAATTTGCTTCAGTTAACAGAAAGCTGAACTCTTATTTGGCAGTAGTAACAATGGCAGACACCTGTCAATTTCCTTGGTTCCCATGATAATGCAACAGAATTTTAACATCTGCTGGGGTTAAGCCCTTTCAGGTTTTGTTTCCCTGTGAAATCACGTGTGCTTTTGCAACCATAAAGTAGTTCTAAATGAGGACCCTTGTATTTCATTGGTTGGCCTTTAGAAGGTTAGAGAGTTAATGGCTCTCCATGTTACTACAGCCCCACTGGTTAGTGTTTTTATATATATATATATATATATATATATATATATATATATATATATATATATATATATATATATATATATATAAATAATTTGTTTTCTTTTAATAAAAAAAAAATGGTCAACAATCTTAGCTTGTATGCACATAGTAGTGCAGATTTGTGCATCCCTCAAATACTTGGAAATTGGATCAAGCCACATCTAAATATGGGAATCTTCATCTTTTTTTCCCACCCATCATTCCACTTTATTCTAAAATATTGGGTCTCTTTACTAATCTGGAAAATTTTGAACTGATCTGAATATTGTGTTTCTAAATCTTTAAGACCGTATTAGTGAAATATATTGGAAAATATTTAAGGGAGACATTGTGTCCACAAACCAAATGTATGTTTTATGGATTCTCAAAGTGGGTCTTGTATATAAATTGGAGGTACTGGACTGTATTTATCTTTAGTTGGTTAAAATCTAAAATGTTTGCCTTTTTTGCATATGCTTCATTGCCTTAGCCAGAATACCTTAATTAAATAAAGGGGATGCACAGCCATTGAAATATATTAGCAACAGATTTGATAGAAAATTATATATTTTGTCAAGGTTCTTGACATAATTGCCTCTTGTTTTAGTAAAAACATTTGGCTGATCTTTTGGCTGAGTGCTGGGCTACCTGTGTCCATTTCAGGATACCCCCTACCACCACACACGAAGACTGCCATTGATGGCCACTTTCATAGTTGCCTGGCTGTAATGCTTATTCTTTGACCATTACTTTCTCAGCCACTGACCTAGAAAATGCAGCAAGTGAATGCATGCTGGTTCCAGGTCAGTGATTTAGAAAGACATTAGTTCAGCATGACAGTCAGGCAAATGGGTTTTTCTAAAGAAGGTTTCTGTAAACACAGGTTTCCTTTAAAGTAGAACACAGCCAAAATTGTATGGTTTTCTTTATGGTCTGTGTTGCTGTTTTGGAGGGTTTCCCTCACTTTCTGTTTATCAGCTTTGACGCTTCCACTAGAGAACTTTATTTGGCTAGTGTTCATTAAAACCTGAAATCTGGGTTAAACGAAGTTTACTTTAAATAATCTGTGCACTAATCCCTCATGAAATAATTCCTGCATTTTGCCTTTGTGCAGAATTTTCCTGTAACAAAAACCAGTTGCTGCTGCTATCTTTTCTTGTGTGGTGTGATTGGTCTTCCATTTGCCCCTTTCTGCAGACAGCTTGTAGTAGGACTTGGAATCCACCCACAGCTCTGTGCTCTGCATTTAGTGCACATAAAGTGGATTTTCAGTGGGGAAAATAATTATTTGATCCCCTGCAGATTTTCTAAGCGTTCCCACCCACAAATAAATGAAAGGTCTATATTCTTATCATAGGTGTATTTTAAATGATAGAAACAGAATATCAACCAAAAATCCGGGAAAAAAAAAACACATTATGCAAATGTTACAAATTGAGTTGCAGTTCAGTGAGTAAAATAAGTATTTGACCCCAAGCAAAACATGACTTAAACATTGACAAAACATGACACTACTTGGTGGAGAAGCCCTTGTTGGCAAGCACAGAGGTAAGATGTTTTTTGTAGTTGGTTACCAGATTTGCACACATCTCAGTAGGGATTTTGGTCCACTCTTCCTTACACATCTTCTCTATATCCTTAAGGTTTCTTGGCTGTCGCTTGGCAACTTGAAGTTTCACCTCCCTCCATAAATTTTCTATAGGATTGAGGTGTGGAGACTGACTAGGCCACTCCATGACCTTAATGTGCTGCTTCTTGAGCTACTCCTTTGTTGCCTTGGTGTTATGTTTTTTTTTTTGTCATTGTCATGCTGGAAGACCCATCCACGACCCATCTTCAGTGTTCTGGCTGAGGGAAGAAGGTTCTGATTCAAGATTTTATAATACATGGCCCTTCCATTGACCCCTCAAAGCGGCAAAGCCGGCCTGTACCTTTAGCAGAGAAACCACCCCAAAGTATAATGTTTCCACCTCCGTGTTTGACTGTAGGGATTGTGTTCTTGGGGTCATAGTCAGCATTTTTCTTCCTCCAAACACGTCGCGTTAATTCCAAAGAGCTCAATTTTTGTCTCATCTGAACACAGTACTTTTTATCCCAATCCTTCTCTGAAAAATTTAGATGTTCATTTGCAAACTTCAGATGGGCCTGTACATGTGTCTTCTTGTTTTGCCTATATCATTATGTAATTCGTAAGCTCCTCCCATGTAGTTCTGGGCTGATCCCTCACGATGATCCTTAACCCATGAGGCGAAATCTTGCATGAAGCTTCAGACTGAGGGTGATTGATGGTTATTTTTGTATTTCTTCCATTTGTGAATAATCGCTCCAACAGTTGTCTTGTTCTCACCAAGCTTCTTGTCGATGGTCCAGCCTTCTGCAGGTCTACAGTCTTGTCCCTGATGTCCTCTGACAGCTCTTTGGTCTTGCCCATGACGATGATGAAGAATGAGATTCTGTGGACAGGTGTCTTTTATACACATTATGAAATGTCATTAGGAGCACCTTCTTAAATTGACAGGACAAATCTGTTTAGTACATGAGCACATAGCCAGCCTGTGGAAGCCAGAATTATTGTTATTTGGTAGGGAATCAAATACTTATTTTACTCACTGAACTGCAATTCAATTTATAACATTTGTATCGTGTTTTTTTTTCTGGATACACCTAATGATAAAATAGTTTATAACAATTATAGACTCTTCATTTCTTTGTAAGTGGACAAACATAAAAAGTCTGCAGGGGATCAAATACATTTTTTCCCCACTGTATATGCCATGTGTGGCTATTGAGCAATATACAGTATTTATTTAAACAGTTTATGTAAAAAGACATAAGGGTGTAAAGCAGTAGTAAATACCGCTTGGTGACTTGAACCTACAGGTAAGCTTATAATAAAGCTTACCTGTAGGTACAAGAAATACCTCCTAAGGGCAGGTAATCGAGTGATGTAATCGTGGTTCAGCCATCTAAACTGCCTGAGCCCACGAACCCTGAAGGAAGACTGAGTGAAGATGGAAGCCCTGACACTGGTGTGCTGCTGGAGGGCTTCATTTTAAAGTCAGTCTTTCATAATGTGCTAGTATGGGATGCATACTAGCACATTATGACATTAACCTGCAAGGACTTTATTTTTTTTCCTCTTCTTGAAGACTTTACTACCGCTTTAAGATTTACAGGAAAGATGAAATGGCTTAGCACGGGGGGAATTGGTAGTTTAGAGAGAAGACTTCAATATGTAGAAGTGATTCCTAAAATGGACACTATAGTCCTGACTCTCAGCCAAGACGGACGCTTGCTGTTTCTGTTGAAATATAGAATATTTTCAAATGTGCACCAGTGTGATAAGATCTTTTAAAACTGACATCCTCTTTACCTGTGAACATTTTTAGTATACATTTCTGAGAAAGTGTGATATTCCTGATATCCAATTGGATGCAGCATGTTATATTAATAAGTATACATCTTTTGAGGTACTGCACAGTAAAACCGCTTAGTAAACAGACCCAGCCACATTAATTTCTGAAGGGGTCTTTCTTCCTGGTACTGTTGCTTGTGTACACTAAACGTGTGGTGATGGTGTTTTGTATGAGCTGCTTCACTGCTCACGTCTGTGGTTAGCTTCCTTGCCATTTCTAACACACAATCTCTCTCTTTCTCTCCTTTTTCCTCTGTTATGCTCTGCACTTGGCTCTCTGTTTTGTCCTGTCAAATTCTTAACTTTTATAGAATCTCACCTCTGTCCTCGTTCAGCTTCAGCCACTACCATCAATACCCCACCCTCCATCTCTAAAGGTCCTATGCGTAGCCGCAGCATTGACAGACTGAAGTCGCCTCAAAGTGCAACCTCCGGTGCCAGCTCCTCTGAATCTAGCCAGGTACAAAAGTACAGTCATTCTACAATAAGACCGCATACTCTTAGTAAAGTGGTAGCAGCTATGTTTTAAGACCAGAAAATGACATATTGAAATTTGACTTATTTGTGGTTGATTCCAGTGGATTCAGTCCCCTATCAATTTTTCAGATAATATAGATATTCCATCAAGTGTTGGGTGCTTGCATTGCTCAGCAGAAAAGTGAGCTAGACATGTTGCTAACTGAGCTGACTGGTGATTGGTTTTACTCATTAAAGTGAATGTGTGGCAATAACAAACACATGAAGCCAACATTTACATGGATAGTTGACATCCTGAACTTGCTTCTCCATTTGTTGCTAAACATCTTTCGACCCCAGAAAATTCGAGTGCCCTGTAAGCAAACCGCAACCACCTTCCATGATTACATGTCTTGGCCATTCTCCTCCTGGTTCCTGTGCCTGTTTTCTTGGCCCATAACTATGGTTATTTGTCAGTCTCATTAAAGCGATTCTGCACTGGTTTTACACAGAGCAGCCCGGATCCTGCTCTTCTCGGGTCCCCGGCAGGCTCTCCTGGCTCCTCCTGTCTATTGGGTGTCTCCACAGCAAGCAGCTGTGGGGTACCCGCTGCTCCGTGTGTCTTGGCCTCGCCCCCTCTCTCCTCATTGACTGTCTGTGATTGACCACAGCAGGAGCCAATGGCTTGCGCTTGCTGTTTCAGCCAATGAGGGGCAGAGACCAGGGGCAGCCGAGGCTGTCATTCACATCGCTGGATCACGATGAGGATCAGGTAAGTATTGAGGGGGCTGGGGAGCTGCTGCACACAGAAGAAATGCATAGAATGCATGAAGGTAGAAAAACCTTTAGCCTTTACAACAACTTTAAGCAAATATGGGTAAGGAAGGGTTACTGCCAGCAAACAACTAGTTGCTGTTTGCTTATCAGAGCACTCCAGTTTTATGGAATTGTGTGGGGGGTAGGAAGGAGAATGCACATTACATTCCACAAGGTGCTGGCTTTGTCTCCACATTGTAACAGTTACGCTCTGTGAGTAGTTCATGTGTTTAATATTGTCACAGGTTTTGTTTTAGGTGCCTATTCACAGGCTAAAAAAAAAAAAATGAAATTGTTTCCTATGTGAGGTGCAAATGACATCAAGGGCTCACCTATTCAGTGACCAGTCTTGCAGTGACTGCATTTGTTAGTAACTGCAGTCGTAAATTCGCTATCTACTTGCCCTGCTTGGTCATTTTACATCTTTCAGACTTGACCATATTTGTATACTGTGAGACCTATTTAATATCATGGGACACTAATCTAGCAGGCCAGATTCTCTGGGATACTGGTACCTATCATATATTTCCCTTCACATTACATATGGAACATTTTTTACCATGTTTAATCTTGAGCTCTTACAGGTCCTTCCCTTGCAGGGTTGTTATGTCAGCAACTGAACTAGTCTCGGTGCTTTATACTTAAAACCTCTATTATAAAAGTTTCTGTTTTGTTAAAATTATTGAAGCTGCATAGAATCCGTCAGAATGGGCAAGTAAAGACTGTGACGGTATCGATTTTTTTTTTTTTTTTTTTTTTTTTTTTTTTTTTTTTTTTTTTTTTCATGGGATCCAGGTCCCTTGAGGTATTTTCCTGTGGCACTATAAGCATTTGGATACCAGTAACTTATGTGACCCTCAGATTTGTGCTACCAAGAAAATTTCTACACCTGGTTTAGGCCACTTTTAGCATCTTTGGTGGAAATTTGGTGTAAATGGGAGTCTACAACAGATAATGGGGATAAAGCCCTAATAACACTTTTCTGGTGATATTGCCCTTTAAAATGGCCTGTGCCAGAATACATAAATCTTGCCACCTCTTTGGATAGCATTACCAACACATGTCAGATTTAGTTAGTTCTTAATAGCACCACTTTTACAAAGTGGCTCTATCACTGCACCAAAATCAAAAATACCCTATAGTGTTGCTAGATACTCTTTATGCATTCCCCTGAACATTCTGTAGCCAAAACTCAGAGCTGCTCACTAACAGAGAAACAATGTAGCAGTTGGCGATATTGCAAACCTTTTGAGCAGAGCATTATTTTAGCATATATACCTATTGCCACTAGCACTGTGAGAGAATTGAATCTGATTTGTACTGTATTATAAAGAAGATGTGAATGTTTCATTAGAAACCAGAGCATGAAAAATCATCACCTCCTACTATCGGGAAGCGCCCTCCGTCTCCTAATTTGACACTAAGCAGACGATCTCCTTCTCCAGCGAATACTACAAAGCGAGCTTCTTCACCAACACTTGAAAAGTAAGTGCTTTATTGTGTATTTATTACTAGGGAAAATATTAATCGTACCATGCAGGACACGGGCTGCATATTCTGGGGCTTGGTTATAGGCTGATACCTTCAAGTGATGGAAGGCTAGCAAAGCTTTGGGGGACATGCCCCCTAGGCTTCCCTTATGCCCCTTCCCCTTTTGGTGAATCCACAGTTTTTTGCTAGTGTCCTAAGGTGATGGACTTATTCTTCCTTAAGGAAAATCAACTCTAAACTGTCTTCTAATACCACAATACATGCAGTACATCTGAAATGGCGCAACTTTGATAAAACCTTGGGAGCCATACCAAGACTCCACACCATGTGGACAGCCTGCAGTGTTGCATTGGACACTAGATCCTGGACGCTCACCTTGGCACTTGGTACAGCAGGGTTCTATACAGTTCTAGGGCTGTGGTACATTCTTATAGAACTCAGACCCCAAAGACATCCTTGAAAGTGTGGTCACGTTACAGGTAAAGCCTTGCTTCTATATGTGGACCAGCAGCATGGGCAGGTAAAGTAGTGTCACTGTGTTTATTAAACTGTTACTGTAGCCCCACAATCCTGTATATAGTATAGTATACATTCATACGTGTAAACAATCAGGAAGCGTGGACTGTTTGAAACTTTTGCAGTGTAAGCTCTTCAAATTTGATGTAAACATTCAGCCACTCAGAACTGACCAGATGTTACATCACACCACAGATCACACACTTTTTTTTAATTAAGAGACAAAGTTTATTCAAATTTGTTCAGCATAGAAAAAGTGTCATACATGGTCAGGAGAGAATACAACAACTGAACAACAACCAGTTGGCCATTGGTACTATTAGGTACATAGCAGATAGTCTACATTATAACAAAATACACTGCTCAGAAAAATTAAAGGAACACTTTTTAATCGGAGTATAGCATCAAGTCAATTTAACTGCTGGGATTTTGACTTGTTCAATTAAGTAGCAGAGGGGGTTTTAATCAGTTTCAGCTGCTTTTGGTGTAAATGAAATCAACAACCGGTGCACTAGATGAGAAACAATAAGACAACCCACAAAACAGGAATGGTTTTACAGGTGGAGACCACTGACATTTTTTTTCTCTACTCATCTTTTCTGACTGTTTTTCATTAGTTTTGCCTTTGGCTAGGGTCAGTGTCACTACTGGTAGCATGAGGCGATACCCGGACTCTACAGAGGTTGCACAGGCAGTCAATCTCCTCCAGGATGGCACATCAATACATGCCATTACCAGAAGGTTTGCTGTGTCTTCCAGCACAGTCTTGAGCATGGAGGAGATTCCAGAAGACAGTCAGCTACTCTAGGAGAGTTGGACATGGACATAGAAGGTCCTTAACCCATCAGCAGGTCCAGTATCTGCTCCTTTGTGCAAGGAAGAACAGGATGAGCACTGCCAGAGCCCTACAGAATGACCTCCAGCAGGCCACTGGTGTGATTGTCTCTGCCCAAACAATCAGAAACAGACTTCATGAGGGTGGCCTGAGTGCCCAACGTCCTGTTGTGGGCCCTGTGTTCATTGGCTGGCACCATAGAGCTCGATTGGCATTTGCCATTGAACACCAGAATTGGCAGGTCCGCCACTGGCCCCCTGTGCTTTTCACATATGAGAGCAGGTTCACCCTGAGCACATGTAACAGACATGAAAGGGTCTAGAGCAGCCTTTGAGAACGTTATGCTGCTTGTAACATCGTTCAGCATGGCCATTTTGGTGGTGGGTCACTGATGGTCTGGGGAGGCATATCCATGGAAGGACGCACAGACCTCTACAGGCTAGACAATGGTATCCTGACTGCCATTAGGTTTCGGGATGAAATCCTTGGACCCCTTGTCAGACCCTACGCTGGTGCAGTGGGTCCTGGGTTCCTCCTGGTGCACAACAATACCTGGCCTTATGTGGCGAGAGTTTTCAGGTAGTTTCTGGAACATGAAGGAATTGAATGGCCCCCACGCTCGCCTGACCTAAATCCAATAGAACACCTCTGCGATATCATGTTTCGGTCCATCCAACACCACCAGGTTTCACCTCATATTGTCCAGGAGCTCAGTGATGCCCTGGTCCAGATCTAAAAGGTAATACCGCAGGACACCATCTGTCATCTCATTAGGAGAATGCCCCAATATTGTCAGGCATGCATACAAGCACATGGGGGCCATACAAACTACTAAGTACCTTTTTTTTTTTTTTTTTTTTTTTTTTTTTTTTTTTTTTTTTTTTTTTCCCTGCAATGAAACTTCAGCAAAATGAAGACTGGCTAGGCCACTCCAGGACCTTAATGTGCTTCTTCTTGAACCACTCCTTTGTTGCCGTGGCCATGTGTTTTGGGTCATTGTCATGCTGGAACATCATCAACCCATTTTCAATGCCCTGGCTTAGGGAAGAAGGAACTCACCCAAGATTTGATGGTACATTGCCTTTGATGCGGTGCAGTTGTCCTGTCCTCATAGCTGAAAAAACCCCCAAAACAGAATGTTTCCACCACCATGTTTGACAGTTGGGATGGTGTTCTTGGGGTCAGAGGCAGTATTCCTCCTCCTCCAAACACGGCGAGTTGAGTTGATGCCAAAGAGCTCAATTTTGGTCTCATCTGACCACAACACTTTCAGCCAGTCCTCTGCATCATTCAGATGTTCAGTGGCAAACTTCAGATGGGCCTGGACATGTGCTTTCTTGAGCAGAGGAACCTTGCGGACACTGCAGGTTTTCAGTCCTTGTTGGCATAGAGTGTTACCAATTGTTTTCTTGGTGACACTGGTCCCAGCTGCCTGGAGATCATTTACAAGATCCTCACATGTAGTTCTAGGATGATTCCTCACTGTTCTCATGATCATTGACACTCCATGAGGTGAGATCTTGCATGGTGCAGCAGATCTAGGGAGACTGTTTTGTGTTTCTTCCATTTGCGAATGATTGCACCAACTGTTGTCACCTTCTCACCAAGCTGCTTGGCGATAGTTTGGTAGCCCAGGCCAGCCTTGTGTAGGTCTACAATCTTGTCCCTGACACCCTTGGGCAGCTCTTTGGTCTTTGCCATGGTAGAGAGTTTGAAATCTGATTGTTTGATTGCTCCTGTGGACAGGTGTCTTTTATACAGGTAACAAAATGAGATTAGCAGCACTCCCTTTAAGAGACTGCTTCTAATCTCAGTTTGTTACCTGTATGAAAGACACCTGGTAGCCAGAAATCCTGCTGAATGATAGGGGATCAAATACTTATTTCCCTCATGAACATGCAAATCAGTGCATAATTTGTTAGACATGCACTTCTTTAGAATTTTACCAATGTATTGGGACACCCCTCCAAATTATGGGATTCAGGTGTCCCTTATAGGGTAACTTAGGCACTTCCTCTACCCTTTTGCCACAAGGACTTTGCTACAGGACGTTCTACACCCAGGTGTACTCCTTCTAAACACGCTTACCCTATGTTGCTCACCCTACTCCGTAAATACTCCACAGGGATTTACCCTCACCTACACTATAGTGCCAAAAGTATTGGGACACCCCTCCAAATTATTGTATTCAGGTGTTCCAATCACATCCATTTCCCCACGTGTATAAAATCAAGCACCTAGGCATGCAGACTGCTTCTACAAACGTTTTATGAATGAATGGGTGCTCTCAGGAGCTCAGTAAATTTAAGTGTGGAAACCGTGATATTCCTCCCACGTCATTAGTGTCCGTGTGTGAGGAATAGTGGCCCATCATTGGTATCAGTGGGAGGAATAGTGCCCCATTATTAGTATCAGTGGGGGGAATAGTGCCCCATCTTCGGTGTCAGTGGGAGCAATCGTGCCCCGTCATTGGTGTCAGTCAGTGGGGAGGAACAGTGCCCCGTCATTGGTGTCAGTGGGAGGAATAGTGTCCCGACATTGGTGTCAGTGGGAGGAATAGTACCCCATCATTGGTGTCAGTGGGGGAAGGAATAGTGTTCCATCATTGGTATCAGTGGGAGGAATAGCGCCCTATCATTGGTATCAGTGGTAGGAATAGTGCCCCATCTTTGGTGTCAGTGGGAGGAATAGTGCCCCGTCATTGGTGTCAGTGGGAGGAATAGTGCCCCGTCATTGGTGTCAGTGGGAGGAATAGTGCCCCGTCATTGGTGTCAATGGGAGGAATAGTGTCCCCAATTCTTGTCAGTGGGGGAAGGAATAGTGTTCCATCGTTGGTGTCAGTGGGAGGAATAATGCTCCATCATTAGTATCAGTGACACCAATGATGGGGCACTATTCCTCTCACTGACACCAATGACACTTGCTGACCCCTGTGCCAGTATGGTGCTGGTGTGCTGCTGCTGCAGCCAGCATATGTGGTAGCAGCAGCACCTCTGCACGGCACACTTACCGGCCGCTCCCTCACTCGATTTTCACGGGGCCGCTCGGCTCCGCCTGCTCGCCGGTGATTGGCCGCCTGTGTGCCTTTTCTGAGCTACAGTTCTGGCGACCAATCACCGCTGAGGAGGCGGAGCCGAGCGGCCGCGCGGACGGACATCGAGCAGGCGAATTGAATGAAGGAGCAGCCGCGCTTCCTGGACTGGAACGTCGTGAGACTGGGACCGGAGCCAGGTAAGAAACAGCAGCCCCCTGCCCACCCCTGTACTTAGTGTCCCTTCCGTTGGAAGGGGGGGGCGGCGGCACCGCGCCGCCCCCTAAAAAGTGCCGCCCTGACACCAAGTGTCAGCATGCCGTATATCGGCGTATAAGTCGACCCCCGACTTTTTAGAAGATTTTCAAGGGTTAAAAAGTCGTCTTATACGCCGGAAAATACGGTACTCTCATTGGAGTTACCACGGGCTAATTTGCCCGCAGACCCAGCAACTTCTCCTGGAGTGGATACCCGCCAAGGTGATAATATACGGGACTTGTTAGCCTTATTGCCTACAAAACAAGATATTCATGAAATGGCCGCTTCAATTGTTAATTCTCTATCCAAAGAACTCCAGGACCTTAAGCAGCAAACTGATTCTGAGAGCGTTCT